ATTATTGTTATAATTAACTTAAAATAAATAAAATCTCATCACATGCATCATGCGATTGTCTTTACTTTGTTACACTATTATCATCAACACCATGCTGGCATAAAACACATAAAGTGTATGTTGAAGGGCTTATAATCTCAAAAGACAAATAATTAATTACAGGGGTTTTGGGGGTTAATCTTGCTAAAATCTGTTATACTTATGTTTTTTAAGATAATAAAACACTTTAAAATTAAATTAATGAAAACACATATATATTTTAATGAGAGCTCATATAAAAATAGAAATTTCAACATTAAAATAATCTACAAAATGATAACGAATTCAGCATACTTTCTCTTATTTTTTGTCATTTATATAAAAAAAATATATAAACATAATCAATAAACTCCCCGCTTCATACATACATATCACCTTTTAAAGTATCAAAAATATGTAATTTAAATATGATATCCATAAATTACTCCTCTCAGTAAGAGTATACAATTATCAAAATTATAGACAACTATCAATAATGATAAAATACACAAACCATACCATTAATATAATATCATACCAAAGTCATGTGCCATTATAATTCACAATACATGATAAAAGATTTAAGAAATATCCATAGACAAAAGAAAAACATAGTCACAGGTTTAAAAACTTAAAATGCCCTAAGTCTAAGATATCCATCATAAATATTAGCCAAACAAAAGAAATATTCAGTTAGGTGGCACCAAATGAGAGTGGAGGAAAAACATGATTAACAATCTTATCAAGTTTTCCATCCATGGAATCCATCCGCCCTCTCATCTTCTTCCGAAAATCATAGAAGTTGGTGTGCAATTGTTGCATCTGATTTATCATTAACTCCATGGTTTCACGGTTAGTTCTTTGCATGGAGGCTTGAAAGGTTTTGGTTGTCACCTTCATGTTCTTCTTCGCCTGCTCTACCATTTTTTGGTCTGCATCTGCTCTGCCATTTTTTGGTCTGCATCTGCTCTGCCATCAGTCGGCTCCCCTGGAATTTTTCAAAGCTTGCAGTCTTCTCTCTCCTCGCACAACCAGGTCAGTTTCTCCTCTCCAAAATCACGCCTTTTCCTCTCCCAAACACTCAAACTTTCCAGATATGCAAAACCCATCCCTTAAACACTCAAATACCTCCAAATCCTTGCAAACCCAACACAAATCTTCAAGCTTTTCACTCCAATTTCGCGTGGAATTTGTTGTTCTCTCTCATGGCTTCAAGAAGGGTTGGACGCAAAAGAAAAACAAGTGGGGAGTTCTAGTGCTGCGGGTCAGGTTCAGGAAGAAGGTAACCTCCTTGATTCTACTCTATTTTGGGATGAGGATGCCTTTAATCGCTATAATTTTGTCAAAATTTTAGCTGTGCTTCCCTGTAATAATGTGAAGTTTAGTCAGTTTCCTCATGCATGTAGAGGAGATTTTTAGGGAAATTGGGTGGAGTAATTTTTTAGAGATCAAGGAGCCTGTGTATAATGATGTAGTTCACCAATTCTAAGCAAATCTGAAACCAAAAAGGGAGAAGTGCACAACTATGGTTAATAGGGTACTGATTCAATTTTCACCTAAAGAAATTTGCAATGTATTAGAAGTACCAGAGGGTGGAGATGATGAATTTGAAAATGTCAACCATGAAAAAATTAGAATCATACTTGCACCGCCATGTCGTACAACTCAAATTAGTGTGGGCTTTCTTTCACTAGAAAATAGAGCTTTACAATGGATAATTAGCCATATTATTGCTCAACGAAAAGGCTTTAAGTCTGTTGTACTTACCAATGATCTCTCATGGTTTGATTATCTTTTGAAGCAAAAAAGGTTGAATATCGGTAGATTTATTTACGAAAACCTTATCAAGAATTACTCATTAGATATGAGTCTTCTGCATGGTGCTCTAATCACTAGGCTAGTAAAAAGGAACAACATTAATCTTGGATCCTTTAAGCATGGGAAAATTAAAGTTAGGACTACTCTTACTAAGGCTTCTTTTGAAAAAAAGCAAGTTGAATTCCGGAATGGCATTTGGAGGTAGAGAGGGGATCAAGCAATGGAACAACAAGGGGATGAAGAAGAAGGAGATGCAGACCAAGAAATGGCAGAGCAAAGGAAGAAGAACATGGAGGTGATAGCCAAAGACCCTTTCAAGCCTCCATGCAAAGGACTAATCGCGAGACCATGGAGCTTATGATAAATGAGATGCGACAATTGCACACTGACTTCTATGATTTCTAGAAGGAGATGAGAGGGCGGATGGAAAACTTGATAAGATTGTTAATCATTTGTTTCCTCCACCCCCACCTAGTGCCACCTAACCCGATATTTCTTTTATTTGGCTAATCTTTAGGATGGACATCTTAGGCTTATGCATTTTAAGTTTTTAAACTTGTGACTATGTTTTTCTTCTATCTATGGATATTTCTTGAATCTTTTATCATGCATTGTGAATTGTAATGGCACATGACTTTGGTATGGTATTATATTACTTGTGCATTTTATTATTATTGATGGTTGTCTATGATTTTAATGATTGTATACTCTTATTGAGGGGGAGCAATATGTAGATATCGTGTTTAAATTACATATTTTTTATGCTTTAAAAGTTGATATGCATGTATTAGGGGGGAGTTTATTGATTATGTTTATATTCTTTTTAATGGATGACAAAAAAGGGGAGAAAGTATGTTGAATTTATTGCCATTTTCTAGACTATTTTGATGCTGAAATTTCTGTTTCTATATGAGCTCTAATTGAAATATATATGTACTTTCATTAATTTATTTTTAAAGTGTTTTATTATCATAAAAAAAAGGGGGAGATTGTTGTACCTATTATTTTAATTATTATTTCTTTTGGTTATTTTAAATTAGAAATTCTTTCATTTTCGATTATTCAAACAAATTTTAGATTAATCAATTTTAGTGCTTTACTAATCACAATTTTTATAGTTTCGACACTCTTTTTTTTACTTTATTACTTGAGTTGCAAATAAATTGCATCACAAATAAATTGATATTCCAAGTGTTTGTTTAATTGTGCATTTAATGGTGCAATAAATTATTCATTTTACAATTAATTTACATGAATTGAAAAATTATTAGATGATCCAACATGTCATGTAATTTAAACAAGTGGTTGTGATTAAGCCATGTCAAATCTGATTTTGCTATGGCTTAGAGTATGACATATCTTGCAGATGACTTCCACACGTTCAACTAGAACTGTATCTGCTGGTAATTATCTCTTAATAATTTGGTATTATTCGATGTTAGTGGAAATAATAACTATGTTAGTGGAAATAATAACTAAATTTTAGAGAAAGTTACTAGCCAAGTATTGCAAATGGGAGACGTGAGAGACTAATTTTAATGAAGTGGCAAACATGGGACAAATTTTGGAGTAGTTTTTTACCAAGTCTATTGCTGACATATTTAGTTAGAATATGCAACTTTGACTACATTTTTGCAATTGAGTTGTGGGTGGTTACAAGCCATTTTTTTGGGTATTTACTAGCTATAATCATGAGGATTCAAGCCATTCAAATGAGGCATGCTCCTCTCAACACAACTACACAATCTACTCTGCAAAAGGCCTTAGTCAAGCTCTCAATTAGCCTATAGGTTAAGAACCCAACTCTCAAGCTCTTTAGTTTTAGGTTTTAATTGTTTTATGTAGGATCAATCCCTTTGCCTTCATAAGTTCTCTCATAGATCAATAATTCTACAGGTTTTATCAACACATTCCAATTATATCAATGCAACTAAGTTTCAATTTTGTAAATAGATTTCATTATGATTAATGCAATTTTATTAACAAATTTCACTGTGGTCCTAGATGTGGGAAGTCCTTGCAGCTATCCAATGTAAGTTTGTAACTCATTTTGTGGGAAAGCATTCCTCCATCTAGCAACGTTGCTTGATCTGAGGTACATCTTCGACACATAATTGATGTTCTTTCAGCTATTCCAAATAAAAGTTGATCACTTAGAAGAAGAGGGTCATCAAGGAAATCCCTCTTTCTTGCTTTAAGTAAAGCAAGTGGTACACCTGCCATATTCTACCACATGGCAACCAAAGGGAGAGGATATTTGGAAAAATAATATTATTATCATATGAATAGTTTTAGTTTGTTAATTACTTAAATTAAAATCAATATTAATATTTTTATACAAATTAATTATAAAAAAATATAATAAATATACCTTAAGCTGTGTCTAAAAGTATATAATAGAAAAATTCATGTTCCAATTCTAACCAAAAGCACATCCAAGAATAATGGTGTAATTAAATGGTTGGAAGTTTAGTTCTACAAGGAAAATGCATATCTGTATTTTGTTTACCGATTTGCAGGAAGCTGTGGTTGCAACAACATGGGCTGATACCAATGATCTATTGAGTGAAATGGAAGGTGTTTAGTTTTTTTTAAATAAAATTGTGAGTTTGAATCTTGTGAATAAAGAAACAGACGTTATGAGACATTCTTCTCTTATGGGATTCAATATGGCTCTATTTTAAATTAATTAAGGATTAATGTGATTTTTCGGATACTCAAAGTTAGTAAAAAAAACAAGAAGAAGAACATGAGTTGCCTTGAACAGAAGCTGATAAGGCAATTAGAGACAGTTACAGCCGGCAATGAAGATATATGGTACAAATCACATTACACAAATAATAATAATAACGATAAAATAAGAAACTAAAAAATGCCAAAGCCCAGGAACGAAGCTGTGTAAAATGAAAGAGAAAACACTACTTTGTAAACAAGAAACCAAAACTCAACTACTTGCTGAATGTTCAGTACTGGCATAGGATTTTTTACAATAAAATAAAGAAAAAATGGTTATTAGTCAAATTTATTAAAAAAATTAGGTAAAAAATATTTTAAAATTATATTATTTTAATAAATTTTCATTAAAAAACTTAAATATTATAATTTTCAAAACAATGATGAGATTATTTTGATATATTTTTATAATGTTTTATTAAAAAACTTAAATATTATAATTTTCAAAACAATGATGAGATTATTTTGATATATTTTTATAATGTTTTATTAAAAAAATATAATTTTAAGTTCAAAAATAATTGGTACACTTATTGGTTCAACATTTTTTGATTTAATCATTAAAAATATCATATAAATACAATTAATTCAGTTAATTCATGTATCCTGTATGCATGATTGTATCATTATATTTGTTTATTTTTAATTTTAAATTAAAAAATAATAAATTTTTAATAATTAAACCAAAAAATATTAAACTAAATATTAAACTGATAAGTATATCAATTACTGTGAAGTTTTTTTACTTAATGTTTTATAAGTATAACTGATAATTACTAACCTCTGAAATAAATATAATATATTTATTAAAATTGAAGGAGATAATGGGTTTATTTCCACAATGTTTAGTGAAATCCATAAGAGAAAAACACCCGAATGGGATTGATTTGCATACCGATACCATCGATGGGTGCAGAGGCAAAGCTCAATGCCCCCGGCTGCCGCTAAAAACGTGTGAAAGATTAAGGTTGCGTATGGGGCTAGTTTCTTATCATGCATTTTGACATAACATCTTATAAAAATATTAATTTATTATGATTTAATTTATTTTTATTAATATTTTACATAATTTAACAATTATATTAGTTAACATAAAAAAAAACTTTATTTAAATTAATTTTTTTAAAATATTTTAATATTTTTATAGTAAAATATTAAAATTTTAAACTTACTACCTTTAAATTATTAGCACGACACTTTAACCAATTATGCTAATAGGACGTTTACTGATGGTGTATTTTTTTTTTTTTCCATTTTTATTATATTGGGGGACGGGAGGAAGAAGGATGATTTATTTTGATATACAAAAAGTCTCCACGTTTACGGAGATATAAATATATGTTTGACCAAATCAAAATGGAAGCTGTTTTGTACCTAATCAAATCGATAGATGACTTTGTGGAATTTTAAATTAGTTATATGGTTGACAAAAAATATGTGGCCCTGGACCATAACGATAACAATAAGTACATTATTATTCAAGATATATAATTAATTCCTAGTAGTAAGAAGCTAAGGTAGATATTTTATTACAATTTCGATCGATCTGATGCATTGAAGTTATTGAAAAACGACTAATTAATCAGCATGACATTGAGAAATTGCTTAATTATTTATATCTTCAACATGACAACATTTGAATTGAGCTAGCTAGCTAGTTGCAAGAATCAGCAGCTTTGAGGAACAAGCCAAGGAGTAAAAAGGGGGAGGAAAAGAATGGGCTGTGGTCGCTGTCGAGAACGTACACCTGAGACGGCGGCCACCTCTTTATCATGGTGTCCTGTTGGTGGGGTTTTACAACTCGATCAAGCAATGTCTTGATGTACACACGGGGCACCAGCCTGTCGTCCTCTTGCTCTTCCGTGAATCGAGCACTGGTTATTGCCAGGAGAGGCCCCGGCCTCAACAGCATCCCCGCCAAGGTTGAGTCCTGGACCATTTAGCCAATATTGTATTATATTTGTGACTTTTTTCTTACAGCCATAGGGAGATAGGTTCACCCAAGTGTAAAGGTAATTGAAAGCTCATAAATAGTATATAGATTACTCCACAATAAAATGTGTAGGTAATTAATTAAAAATTGAAAAAGGAAATGAATACTATTAGTAGTAGTAGTAGCAGCTACCTCTTGGGGGCTCATGTGATAAATGATGGTGCGCTGGAAATGTTTCTTGACAAGGGCACTTGTGGGAGGGCAATCGGTGCCTAATCCAAATCCCAAATCATAGACATCGCCAAATTCCGATAGATCGGGCACTCCCTGTTTTGTTTGACGAAAAGGAAACATGATTTAAGTAATTAGTTATTCATGCATGACATCGATCAAATCAAATCATTTTGATATATACTTCCACTAGTTATTAATTTTCTTATGGCAAAAAACGTAATATATATATTTGGTGAAAAAAACAAAAAAAAATTAACTATATTAAATTATCTTATATTAGTTATTAAATAAAAATTAAGTCTCTTAATATTAAGAGTTTAATTTTTATATAATATTTTTTTTTATTTTGATTACATAATGAAAGACAAGTATTTTTCATTTCTTATTTTATTTTACTCACATACTATATGATTCGAATTCATAATTTCTTATTTTTAGCATAAAGAGATGACCACTAATTACTGATTTTTATATAATAATTTTTATTTTATAATTTAATATAATTTAAATTATAAAAAAAATTCAAAAGATAAAAAGCAGCTCAATCATTAATTAACAAATTCATAAATTTTAATAAAATTAATTTTTATCAACAGCAGGACATGGGGCTATCCGGTATCCCAGTCCAATTGGCAAGAAAGATTGATTTGCAGCTGGCCAGGCCCGTACTAGCAAACTAAACGACAACCACTTCCTTGAATAATTGAGAAAAGAATAATATTTTTTTTGATTTTGAGGAAAGAATAATATTATATTCTATTGTGCAACGCAATGTACGGGAACAGAAAAAGCTAGCAAGCTAGGTAGCACTGGTTCTTCGCCCCCACGCACCCCACCCCACCTGGGTTAATTTCTGTAAAAATTGAAGGAGCCATATCTAAACCTACCGGTACAATTCCAGGAACAAGAAACCACAAAAGAAAAAAGATACCGTCGACAGAAGCATGTGCTAGGTAGTGCATGCAAAAACCCAATGGCCAATGTATATATTCTACTCAACGGCACCTATATATTCCTCTTCTGTGATTAGTACTTACGTGTTATGTGCGATCACAACCACAACTTTGTTTTTCAAAGGAAAAGAAAAGAATACGAGTGGGGGCCTTCTCTCTGCCTATCAATCCACTACTACTGTACCGCCATTAATTTACACAATACATATCATTCGTGTGCATGACGAAATACCAAACAAATAATTATTAATTAAATAAATTAACTATAAATTAATTAAAATAAAAGAGAAGGGGTTGGTTTAATTTACATCTTTGAGGTCGTCCTCGGTCTGGAAACCCGTTTTCAGCATTGTGGCCGCTACATACACCGCCACACGGATTTTCTTTGCAAATTTACGAGTAGCCTCTGTCACACTCAGCCCGCCGGCGCTGTGCCCTACTAGTATCACCTATATATTATATATACCCGTTCGATCAATAACCTGATATATGATATATATATATATATATATATGGTGATCGTCAATCAACTATATGTATATACAAACTTGGAATTGGATTAATACCTGCTCGTTATCGGGTAAGGCAGACATGAAATCTATAAGAGGTTTGTTATAGTCATCAAAAGAGTGGACGGAGTCTGCATCAGATAGATCAATTCCAGCACTTTTGAGATCAATACACGAAACCCTATGGCCGGAATTCTCCATGAGGCACCTTATTTTATACCAGCACCAAGCTCCTCCTCCAATTCCATGCACCAGCACAAAGTGGTGTGAATTCTTCATGGCTGTTTCCATAGACGATGACGTTGATGTATCTACCACTTTGGCTGCTGCATATCCATATCTATGTATATATATAGAGGGAGGGAGGAAGAGAGAGCTAGCGCTGACAGGGGGTGGGCATCTATTTTGTTCGGTTGTCAAAGTTTTTTGGGAATGATTTTTATTATCAATACATCCTACCAAAGATTTTCATTTTTTCATAATTGATTACCTACTTTTTCTTTTTATTTTTTAGAAATGAAACCCTCTACGAATACCAACACTTGCTAATTAAATCCATTTGATATTCCAACTCGATGGTATTCCTCTATGATTTGCACATAAATATGCAAAATTTGTCATTTATTTTACTTAAGTATATAAACTTTTCAAATTTCTAAATTAGGTAATAAATTTTTATTTTTTTCTATTTAAAGATATAAAATTTGTTATTTTTCAATTTAAAAATATGAATTTGGTCATATTTTGATTAAGATTGTTATTTACTATATCGTTATTACCATCCTATAAATCTTTAAATAGGAAAAATAATAAAATTTGTATCCTTAAATAAAAAAATAAAAGTTTACCATTTTGTCTAGAAACTTAAAATTTGTATCATTATCTTATACCCTTTCTCCATGCAAGCGTAGTAGATTGAGAAATAAGACAAGATTACTTTTTTTTTGTACAACTCAATATCTTTAAAAAAAAAATCCATTTGATACAATTTTTCATTTACAAATTTAAATTATTTTGTAACTTTTAGAAAAAAAAATCAATTTGCAATACAAATATTACAAATGAAATTGATAGTTCATACCTTGAATAAAATGACTTTAGATTTATGATTTGGAAAATAATTGATGTATCCTCCAATTCGACATACCTTTAGATATCAACTCATTTAGTTTAATTATTAAAATAAGATATAAGTACATTGCTTCAATCAAATTCATACATGCTGTATGTGCAATTGTATTTTTAAATTTGTCAACTTTTAATTTTAGGTGAAAAAATAATAATTTTTAATAAATATATTATATACTATATTAAATTAGATGATATATCGATCAATATTTTTAAAATTTTTAACATAAAAATATATTTACATGCATTTTTTTTATATTGATTATATAATGAGTGATAACTTTTTCTCTATTCTTTTTTCTGCCTAACTCGTATATCATGTGATTAAAACTCATTATCTCTTATTTTTAGTAAAAATATTATTATTAAATTATTTAAATGATTTACATATTTACATATATTTAAATTTTAATTAACTTAAAAGATTTAAAAAAAAAAAATCATTACCATTGTGGCTGCCATGGTAATAATTAAACCCCTTCTATTTTAACGGGACCAAAGTAGATTGCTAATTACTAATATGGCAATTTTGCCACTAAAGATAATAAAGCCTGTCTATTATAGTATTATGTCACTAACTTGTCATGTACTTTAATAATGTGAATATCGAGCGTGACATGGCAGTGCGTACCCCAACTGGCTAGACAGGGTAGAGGGTTGACTGTTTTTGTTTGTTCGACTTATAAGTTACATATATATGGCTGGAACCTGGATGGGTCATGACTTTTAGTTTCGTGTACCACTAATTAATCTTAATGAGTTTGCGGTGGTGTGTGGGCGATCGGTTCCATCATTCAATGGTTATAAGCATCTTGAGTCCCACAAATATTTAAGTGGGTGAATTCTGATATCAGACGTCATGCTCCTATATCCTAATAATATTAAAGATTTGTTATTGTCACATTGTAATTTGTTAAGATTATATAAATAATATAATAAATATATTTTATTTAAATAAATTTATCATAAGTGTTTTTAAAAAACCAAATAATTATGAGTTTATTTTTATTCTAATAAATAATAAATATAAATTAGTTTATTAATTAAAAGTTATAATTATTAATTATTTTAATAATCAAACAAAATAAGAGTATTACATAGCTTTGACCAAAAAAATAAAGAAAAAGGATTGTGTACCAATGACCATACCGATAATATTATGAGTCTGATCCCAAGAAGCAAGGCAAGGCAAGGCAAGGCAAGGCAAGACTTCTTCAATTGACATAAATAAAATATGTATTTGTAAAAAAGAAAATTACAAAATCAATTAATCTTTGAAAATGAAGTTTTGTCACCGATTATAAACTTAAATAAATGATCTCAGAATCAGATCACCGGGCATTTGTTCGGTTGTTCGTGTCCCTACCTTGATGGTATTATATTGCAGGCCATCCAAATCAATACAAATTAATTATTATAGGGGAAAAACACACATAGCTGGTTTCACTAAGGATAATGATATAAATTTTTATTTACAATATCCATAAGTTATTATATGAATAAATATATAAAATATTATGAGTACTAATTGAATGAAAAAAATCAATCATTAAAATATATATTATATGAAAAAATTATATATAAAAAATTATCTCTTAATAATTTTCATTTCACTTACATCCATCATTTTATTAATCAATTTTTTTAGTAAAATGATTAATAGTGACTTTTTTTTTTATTTTAAATTATCTAATAAAAGATAATTTTTCTTTATATCTCTTAATTAACTCACAACATTTACATATTATTCAATTTAAACTCAAAATTTTTTATTTTCCTGAAACTTAGATTACTATTAAATCACTTAAAAACATTAACCTCTGTTAAAAATGGTAAATTACACAGCATTCGGTTCTCTTGAATTGAACCTCTACTCTATATATAGGGGTTTTATTTATTTGTATGTATAGGCAACAACGAGCGGTGGAGGGCAGGGAGCAGCCGGCAGCGGGTGAGGATATATTATTATTATTATTATTATTATTATTATTATGTTATATTAACATCTTAATATTTAGTAACCACATATATTAAATTCAATTAATTTAAAATCGAATTAGGTTAAATCTTATTAAAAAAAACTCTTTTAATACTTATATTCTTATTTATAAAATTATATTTAATACCTTATTTAAGAAGAAATCGATCTCTTCTCACCTAAACTAAGAAATTGTTGCCGAGGAATTGTTGATAGTTGTAAAAGGTTGAAATAATGGACGGAGCAATACATTAGGTAAAGAGTAGTTTTCCCTCCCCTGTCCCCATCCACATATGGGGAAGACTTTCACAATTACTGGCAATTAAATTATTAAAATTTTGCTTTAGTTAATTGATCCATCAAGTCGTCAACCCTGTTGTGGTTTTGGGATTGGAAAGCAATTAAATAAATAGCACTATTTAGATAAATGTGGCATATGCAAGTCGCAATCAATTGTGCATAAGATGGATTTTTTTAA